TCGCGGGAAGCCGCTCTCCGATTCGTGGCATCTCACTGGTCAGACCTTTCGCGTAGGAGAGGCGGCTGAGCGACCGATCGGAAGTTGCTATAGAAACGTAGAGCTGTGAAAATGGAGAGAGAGAGAAAGAAAGAAAAAGAGAGGGCTACATCCGGGCGTGAGCATGAAACTGAGCAAACTGAGGGAGGCAGTGAAGGACAGGAAGGCCTGGCGCAATATGGTTCATGGGGTCACGTAGCGTCTGACACGACTTAACGACTGAACAACAACAACAACAACATCCGGGCGACAAGGGCTGGAATTTGCCACTCAGGCGCAGAGGAAGGGGCGCTGCTTTGCCCCAAAGGAGGATCCTGGCCAATGGCGACTTTTTCTCGATCCGTCCCGGAAGTTCAGGCTGTGTGTCGCTCTAGATTTATCTATCGCCATGGGACAGACCTCCGGAGCTGTCCCAGGAATGCGTCACTCTAGACGGGGGAGCCTCTGGAGTGGGAGCTCCCGCAGGGTAAGGCGTTGCAGAAGCGGGCGGACGTGAGGATGCAGGTGCGTTTTCCTCCCGCTGCCGCAAGCGGGGCTGATTGTGAGCTGGCTCTGGGGGGAATGCAAGGGGCCTCCTGGAGCTCGTGAATTAAAGGTCCTGGGGGGGACGGAGGAGAGAAAGGCAAGAATACCCCCCCCAAAAATGAGTCTGTGGGAGCTCCGTGCAATAAATGCAATAAGCTGCAATAAAGGCTCTGCTGGTTCCATCAAATCCAGCCCTCCTTCCTTCCCTCTCAGCAGGTCTGTGCTGTTCGTTTGCTCCCAAGCCTCTTCCTCAGAACGATATACTGCCTCTGAATGTGGAGGCTCCATTTAGCAATTGGAGCCTATAGCAAAGCATCGCAGTGAAGTCTCCTTTCCTAATAAAGGGCTTCTGTTGAGAGCTGCAGACCGCTGGAAGTTTAGCATCTCCTGGTCTGCCTTTTTTAGGCAAGGGATCTGCTGCCATTTCTGACAGCAAGACAAGTTCCTTGTCCATCTGAACCCTTCCTTTCCATGATGTCTGGCAAAGTTTGACCAGAGTTTCACCCATGGGTGCAAGAGATCCAGGTGGATGACAACAGCTCATGCAACATCCTGTATGAGACAAGGACCAGCCGGATTCCCCCCAGAAGCCCACAGACAGCTTTTTCCTTTTTGTCCCCAAGGAGCCAGTCTTTGGAGATATACTGCACTTGAAGGTGGAGGTTCTGAACGCATGCAGATAAAGAATTGAAATCCACTTAAAACTAACTGAAAAGGCTTGGCTGAAAAAGGAGGACTTCACTCCTGACCTGAAGGCAGAAAGTGGAGGGACTGAGTTTGCTTCTGAGAAAGTTCAATTTGAAGCCTGGGAGCTGTGCTGGAGGAGGCATCCTCCAGAACTAGTATCAGTATCTGTGACTTCTTGAAAATGCCTAGTGTGATACCAAATCTGGAAGGAAGCAGAACATTGAGATCCTTATCCCCTCCCCCCCATTTTTTTTAAAGTTGTCTAAGTGGGGTCAGCTTTGTCTGAGCTTGGAAGTTACACAAGGTTTGGACTGGGATGGGAGACCACTTGGAAATCCCAAACTAGACTGGGGAATTGAAAAACCATCATAGAGAAAGGGAATAGTAAACCACTGTTTGCTTCGTATGATCCAGAAAATTACATACTGATGGGTCCTTATAGTCACCAGGCATTGCACTTAACTTGTTAGAGATGTTACCTTATGTCAGGGTTCCTCAGCCTCAGTCACTTTAAGATGGGTGGACTTCAACTCCCAGAATTCCCCAGCCAGCCATGCTGAGGCTGAGGAGCCCTGCCTTATATTACACTTCTGTCTTGCATTTCCTTTGAAATTCTGTATGAGTTGTTTTGAAATGTCCAGGGTTGCACCGATGACAAACCCAGTTTTTCCTTGGTCGCTCCAGAGAGCAGAGCTTGAACCAGTGGCTTGAGGTGACTAGAAAGGCAATTTTGACAAAAAGTTAGGAAGAATGCTCTAGTTGTTTTACAGTGGAATAAAGGCTTTCCTTGTTTATGGGGCTGGGTGAGTTCCCATGGAAGAGGCCACACTGGTGGGTCTCTCTGCATCCCCAGGGTTTGGATCAAATCTGCACTGAGGTCCATCGCTAAAATCCCTGACTTTATCATTTAGCCACTTTTTATAATTTCCCCACAAAGGGAGCCCCCAAAGAGAAGGGCCTTCTGGTGTATCATATAGTGCCAGCTGCTGAACATAGACCGTTTGGCTTTAGAAAAAAGTAGAGGAATCTTTTTCAAGGATCTAATAGCAAGAGGATCTGTGTCTATTTATTTATTTCCTTGCAGTAATTTGTTTGTCACCTGCTTGCCTGGTTCTCAGCAGCCCCCGGGCCTAAAACCATTGAAACCCACCCTTCAATAGAATATAAGTATATTAATATCTGGAGCTTCCCCTCCACTGTTCTGGCCTTAGGGAGATCATGCCTTCCAAAAGCTCTACAGGAGAAGGCGATTTTCATTGCTTTGCTAAATGGAGTCCTTGGTGCTCTGTAAGCTTGGTTGCTTTCTTGCAGACATTTCATTACCCGACTAGGTAACATCTTCAGTGCTAGAAGGGAGTGGGG